TGAATTGTACACTTTAAGATTTCTTGGTGTGAAGTAACACAAAGCTTTACTACAGTGATGTAGCGTAGAGCATGAATATTACCATCCAGCAGCAATACAGGTCATCTAATGCAACCTAATTTCTGATCCTTGAATCTCTTTCCGCAAACCCATTTAAATGGCTGTAGAGCCTCAGCTTACCTACTAATGAAAGGGAGCTTACTATCTTAAAAGCAGTGCATGGCTGTCCAGAAAGTTTGTTTATTCGAAAATATTTTCTGATGCTGCATTGAAACCTACTTCCTTGTAGGTTCTTATTGCATATTTAGATTTATGTAAAAATGCTATTATATAGCAAATTCTCAATTAAAAACTAATATTGATGATGATGATGGGATGATGACAATGAGTACAGATTTACCATTAATGTAGCCTAAATTCACATGTTGCCTTCTGTCAGATTACTCTTTGCAACAATTAAATCCTTAGGATTGTACTCACTCATGCTAAGCCTGTCTTAGTAGTGTGGTGTGAATTTTGGGTTAAGATGTATGTTTGGGTCTCTCTGACCTAGACCATCAAATTCCTTACCTTAACCCACCATCCATCACAGTGGTTTTCCTTTATCTTTACCACTACTGAATTCCATTATAACATCAAAGATGCTTCAAAGTTGTCTGGGCCTTTCACTGGAGGCCTCGCCACAGTGGCAAAGATCCCTACGCGGAGGCAGCCTGCGCTCAGCAGCATTTCCCAGATGCTCCCCTGAGCTGGGAGCTACTCTGTTTCTGGCCTGCAGTGCAACCATAAGACTGGTCTTCCCTGCTTGAAACTTGTAACTGAGCTCAGGGAGCCCTGGGGGCTCTGGACCCAGTGTGTGTTGGTCACCACTTATAGCTGGGAGACATTCCAGAAAGTTCAGCTCCCTTACACCTTAAATGGGAGCAACGATAGGTCCTCTCTTCAAGGTCAATGTGAGGATGAACTGAAGCAGTGCTTCTGGAAAATACAGTCGAGAATGATTCGTTCACACTGCCTTTCCCTTTGAGTAGAATTAGTCAAGCAGTGTTAATCCAACTACAGTTTTTAACATTACACAACCCACATGTTACTCTTCTGCTCCATGGTAGAAGCTTCGTCTGGAGCATTCCCTCGACTTGCCAAGCCTGTCAAAACAAAATAGCAAAGATTCTTGGTTCAACAAATGACAATCTCTGATGCTTCTGACACTGGACTCTGAGATATCTGTATGTTGCCAAACATTACCGTTCCAAGTTATATATGAGTGAGAGGGAGATGATTTAAAAAAAAGATTATTTGAGTAGTAAGTGTACTCTTTTGAGTCATCAGAGAGATGATAAAAAACACATTAATTCTGAGATTTCAGTACTGGGAATTGTGGGACCACTAATTATTAGGTGACAAGTTGGAAACCGATGAAGCACTTACACAGATTCATCTCAGGTGGTTTTCAGCCACTGTGTTGTGATGATGGGAAAACCTCAGTGGAGTATCGCTTCCACAGGGGAGTCTGTAACCCATAACCCACAATCATCATGAGCTATTTCCAAGTGTTAGAAACATCTGGAAATACCATGGTAATATTGCACATGCAGTCATTAACATTGCATTCTACTCAATTTATCACGAAAAAATCATCAAGAAGTGAGAACCATGATCTATTCCTTTCATCTATTTATTTTATCTGTAGAAGAACAGAAAAACATATTTTATAGTATAAAATATTCTGTGTTGTCCATAACATTTGTTATAATTTCTCAAAATGTTCCTTGATTTGAATTAGTTATATATATGGTTGAAAGCTTCATTAATGACAGAGCACGCTGACTAAAAGCTGCCCGTATGTGCAAGATACACTATTTCCAGGAAACATACTCTACATGTGCATTGCAATCTGAGTGTAGAAACCATACCACACACAATATCTTATTTGATTCTCATAAAATCATCATGAACTACAAGTGGAGAATTTTTTAGTCAATTTTTAATCTACTTACACTCCACTTTACAGATAAGAAAATAAAGGTTTAAAATGTCCAAAAGGGTCAAATCAGACTTGACTCTAAGTCTCCAGATTCTTGGCTGTAATATTTTCTGGGCATATTTTTCAAGTATTTCCCTGTCCTTGTGTGTGGTTTCATTAATAAATAATGTCAAAGGGAAAGTGAGTACTTTTAATCTCCAAAAAATAAACTGTAAATTTTTTTCTCTGATACTAACCTTTCCATCTTAAGATACAGTTTTACGGATAGCGAAGAACTATACTTCTAGTGATCATTCTAGATACTATTGAGTAGCGGGAGAAAATTTAAATTTATATAGAAGACATTGAATTCTGTTTTTTTGGGGGGGAGGTCATTTTCATGCCAACAAGTTTTCTGGCCACAGAGAAAAATACAACCCATCTTCAGGCATCGTTCCTCCATCAGGCAAACTGTCTTCTGAAAGCCTCGATTGTGATTGGGTTTCTCCTGGACCATTTCATGCTTAACCATCAGGGTTAATTTCACATAGCTTCCTCCATCCAGAATGTAATGGCGGCAAAAACGCCTGTTCTCACGGCTCCGTGCAGCAGGTCATAGCTGCTGGAAATTCTCTACCGTAAGGACACAAGACATGGGGGGTGGGGACGCTGAAATATTTGGAAATGGCCCATCAATTAAGGGCATCATAATTGATTACTTTTTATTATTCTAAAAGAAACCGTGGTATTTTGCCCGTTTGACTCTGTAATACTCACGGGAGCCTCTTGTTCTTTGCAAGAGGTTCTCGGTGACATCTCTTGATGGGATACTGAAGTAGGCAATGGGCAACTAGTAAGTGGGAAAGAAAAGATGGCATCAGGGAGTTGGGAAAGCTGCTGTGGGAACCAGGGGACTTGAGAGAGGTTGCAATTTCCTATCTTTAAGACTTTTGAGTCGCTAAGATTTTGTAAATTTTAGGCAAAATGACCACCATAACCCAGGTTCTTCCTGATATTGCTGCCCTTGACCTTTTCCTTTGGTTCCATTGCCCATCCCAACTCATACTCCCAACTTCTAACTCCTAGAAGCACTGAAGCCTCAGAGGGGCTGCTCTGAGACGCTAGCCGCCTCCCGACCATATTTATCACCTTACCTGGCAGGTCGGAGAAGCCGTGTCCCTTCCGCAGGGTGAGGCACGCCCTCCACTCTAATCCGTTCCAAACCCTCTTCCCCCCTCAGAGCCCCCACAGCTCCCTTTCTGTCAGCCTTTTATCCGGGCTCCGTGTGCTTCCAACTTAGCACGTAGCCATTCCGAAGGCCCTCCCGGTGCCCACCCCAGAGGCTAGACTGTGTCACTTGCATGCTTCCGAGCTGGGACTGAGGGAGGAGATGTGCTCCCAGCCCCACCTGCACAGCGCCGACTGTGGTCTGTGTCCTCCCCACAACACCACGCATTTCCTTGTTTCTCTCGTTTCTTTTCTGTCCCCATCCATCAGTCTTAAAAAATGTTAGCCTTTTGTTTTGATGACTCTGGCTTATTGTGATTTTCCTCCTCCCTTCCTGAACATGCAGTTCTTTCTTCATCCCTAGAACGTTAGCGTCTTCTTTGGGGTAAGCTCACCCAGTCACGTGGTTTTAGTCATCTGCACGTTGATGACTTCCAGATCTTGTTTTCTAGGCTTTTCTGAATTTCAGGTCCTTCCAGCCAAATTCGTTTTTGGAATTCTCCTCGAACTTCAACGAGTAGTTCAACGTCAACATGACTAATACAAAAGAGAAGACTTTCTCTCTCAACAACATACCCCTCGTTTTGAGAACGCTCTGGTTGAACGAGCCCACTCTGCAGCCTGTTTCCCAAGACATCATCTTGGAAAGCAGCATTAATGCCTCACCTGTCAGTCTCCTTCCTCTCCCCTCATCCAGCCAGGTCTGCCTCCACGACACCTCTGCCCCTCCTCTTTTCTTCACCACCACTGGTCTCCCTGGGCACCAAGTCCTCAGTAGCCCTGCCCGTTATCTTTCACTGGACTATCAGAATCCTCTTTTTCACACACCACTCTGATCCGGCCCTGTTTTTGTTTCAAGACCTTTAGGACTGCCTGTCGTTTCTAAGAGATAATGGAAGCTCTTTTGCAAGAGAGACAAACCTCTGACTACATCTCCAGCCTCACTGAGTTCTGCTTCTCTCAACACGGGCTCCAATTTTGCCCACATACCTGCGTCCCTGTTATACATCATGCGTGGTCAAGGCTGTGTGTCCTTGTATATGTTGCTAAGTCTTCAGGAGCACCCTGAAGTCCTGGATTTGCTTGGAAAATTCTTATTCAAGTGTCCGCTTTGGATGGGAAGCCTGTTCCTCTTGCACAGGCTTTTTTCCCTCATCCATTCTGGGTTTGGTCCCCTCCCTGAACACTTACAAACACCTCCTGTCCATCTCTGCCATTCTGCTTCCATACTCTACTGTATATTGTATATGATATTCTCTCCTTCCTGAGCACAGCAATGCACCGCTTTTGTTGGTGCTGAGCTTCCTGGGATGAGCCTTTTATCTTTATATCCTCAGCTGCTAGTACTCTATGTCTGGGAAGTGATTCCTATGTGATTGTTGCATGACAGGAATAAATCAACAGATTAATCAACCACCACATAATTAAAGGATATTGACAAGAAGAAGTAATAAATTACTCTAAATTAAAAATCTTTAATAGACGTATTAATTACAAAGCATAGGCTAGGACCCAGCAGATTTCTATATGAAATATGTAAAACATCTGTGACCTTCTCCTTTAGGTAGGAAGGGTACAGCTCAGGTGACAACCAAGTAAAACAGGGTAAATAGGTTCTGGTACAACAAGAACTTTTTTTGCTTCCTGAAACATCATGTGCTATTATGTATCAAAGCCTCGTAAACACAGGGTACACAATGTCCAGGTGACTGCTATTATTCTGGGGACCAAATATGGCGGAAGTGACTCGTAACCCCTGGAGTTTGACCACAAGCCAAGCCATAAAGCTGTGTGCTTTCTGTCCTCACAGGTATTTGAACCAGACCCTACCAGAAGATGTATCAACAGCAGAGCATTCTCTGAACAGGGAAAAATTCGCTATTTTGAAACAAGCCCTGAATGTAATTGGCTTCAGTCACTTGGTGAGTCATACCATAAATATTTCACTGAGAAAACCAACCTTCTACTAGTGTACAAAAGTTATTCATTCAAAAACATTTACCGAGGCCCTCTCATATTCCGGATATTGGTGGGAATGCTCATGATTTAGCAGAGAATAAGCCTCAATCTCTGCCTCCTAGAGTTTATGTTCCCTTGGGGGAGTTAGACAACACTGTGCCCAGGGTCACAGGTCCTATGACGACAAATAGTGACCAGAGGAAGGGCATCTCTTTTCAAGAGGGTGGTCAAGGAGACCTTTTCCCAAATAAACCATGTGAGCAAACAGATTAAAGAACTGTGCATTGACCCAACTCCAAAGAAAACTGGCAAATCTGAAGGAACCGTTTGCTGCCAAGAATCGCTTGGAAAAGTAACCTAATGACTTATTACAGTATCTTTCTTTGCAACATAAAGCTCTTTTTTATTCTTAAAGAATTACCAAACACCCACAGGCATCGTGAAGCGGAAAAATACAATTTAAAATGTTTAAACCACTGCTCTACGATAGAAATTTTTGTACTCATGAGAATGTTCTGGATCTGTGCTTCACAATATGGTAGGTCCATGTGTGGCTAGCAGGCACTTGAAATGTGGCTGGTGTGAATAAGGAAATTAATTTTTAATTTCTTAGTTTTAATCCATTTAAATTCAAGTAGACTTGTGTGGTCAGTGGTTAATGAATCAGACAGCACAGATCTGGTGGACAGGGGATCTGAAGTGAGATAAGCCTGGAGACCCCCCACCACCCCCTCAAATTCCTCTTCCCCTTACACATTGGCTGTACCCTCCTCATTTGGTTTGGTGTCATTTTGAATTAATGGCCAATTCCTCATTGGCAGTTAATAGGAGATTGCAGGGGTAACTTTGGTATGCCAGTAGTTTAGCCACCCAGATTTAGCCTTAGATTTATATATCTTCTTTTTCTTAACAGGAAGTTGATGGACTTGGGTCTTTGTTTTTTGTTTTTTGTTTTTTGTTTTGTTTCCCTAGCCCACATAGATACAGCTCACAGGACAGCAAGGTGTGGGAATGTAAATGAAATAGCTCTGGGCACTTCACCTTCACCCCATTCGGAGACGGGGATTCCAGGGACCTACAGTCATAGGGTCTTTTGTTTTTTTGCTTTTCTCTCTCTCGCTAATGATCCAATCTCTCTATTTTTGTCTTTTAGTGACTCCCACCCATTTGCACTTTTCTGTCCTTGCATGTGCTACTGTTGTACTTTTCTTGTTATTTTTTCCCCCTTCTTCTGTGCCTAAAATGTCTGCTTCCTTCTAGGAAACTGGGATAGAGAGATGGGTAAGGAATCATTCTACCAAAGTACCCGTTGCTTGGAAACAGGGCCTTAAAAATCTGTGATTGATTCTCAAAGGCAGGGCAACCAAAATATGCTTTCCACCTAAGGTAGCTAATAAGAGAACCTACCACCTTTTTGGTAAAAGAAATGTGTGCACTTTAACAAAAGACATGAAGGTAATTGTTTCACTGAGATGCTGTAGTGCGATGGGTATGGGGACATTTTAGTGCACTTAGGAGGGGCGGATCATGCCCAGGTATGTCTGGGCTGGCAAGGCCCTCAAAGAAGACTTGCTCATCAAGGTGCCTGTGCCCAGAGGGACGGCAGGGGTGGGGTGGGGGGACAGTTGCTCACTCTCCCCACACACGGGACAGCAGCTCTCTGCTCACAGGGCATAGTGTTCAGTACTCGTAATTCATAGTATGGCCAGTGGTCATACTCTGTGTCCACTGCTAAACTCTGAGATCTTTGAGGTCAGAACAGAGTCTTTGTGACCATGTCTCCAAAGTCCCTACCCCACAGAGCACTGGGAAGCCTCCTGAGGCGTGACTGGATTTATTACAAAGGGGGGAAAGCAGTTATCAGGGAGCGTGAGGAGTAGACTGTTACTCAAACCAGCATAATTCCGTAAAATTTGAAACCATAACCTGTGACTGGTGGGTCACCAAAACCATTTGTAAGTAATGCCGCAATCCTAGAGTGTTATACCTAAAAATTACTTGGAGACCATCCTTGTCCGTGTCCTCATTTTAAAGATGATAGAGTTATCCTTTGTGGTGAAAACTGGCAGTTCTAGAGGAGATTCATGGAGGTCCTAAGGGCTACATGACTCCACCTATATATTTATAAAGCAAATACAGATTGTTCTTAGTAAATTGTTACAGGCAGGAGCTTTTTATTTCAAAATTACAGATTAGGAAAATGAGAGTTTAAAAGATTATGTCACTTGCCCAGTGTGGACCTTAACCAGTGTTACTGTCGATATCACGATACTAAATATTTGTTCTAGAGAAGTATATTTCTCAGCTTACAGAGTTTCTTGATTTTTCATTGTCGCCACAAAATGACTGTCCATAAACCAAATTTAAGGTCTAATTTCTTTCTTTATGCAGAGTTCCAGATTCTCAGATCTCCTCTTTCAGCAGACACGCTCTTATTTCCTTCTCCCTTCTGCTCGAAGATAGCTCTTGCCAACATGCATTTCTTTCTCTTTTCCTTAAGATACCTTAAAAAACAATTAGCATTTTTTAATCTAGGCATAGATGCTTGTATCGTGCCTTCCTGAATTTCCCAGCAGAAGTGAGAAGTCCGATAATCATACCATCAGTTTATCTCAGAGGGGACATAACAGGAAGATGGACATCAGAGCCCGTGGCCTCTCGGGAAGCAGCGTCGGTGGGCGGCCCCCGCATCAGCCTGGGGAGCACGTGTGCGATCTGTCCACTGATGTCCAGTGATGTCCAGTGATGGCCCGCCAGTCTGACTCATCAGGACACAGTGATTCCTGTTTCAGTATGAGATTTATCTAGAAACTGTCCATTTATATCAGCGTCACTTCCTTACCCTCTTTTAAGGAGCAGAGACATTGATTTAGAGGAAATGTGTACTAACGCGATTTTGGTTTCAAGCTGGAGATGGGTAGTTCCCTTACTAGACACTCAGGATCTGAGAAGTCAGAGCCCCACCAACAGGGTCCGTGTCAGTTTTTTTTTTTTTTTTAAGCTATTAGGTTTTTAGAGGATTTGTCTTTTCATCTTTCTTCTAAGCAGCTGTATTCATTTTCTGTCTTTGTAAAACGGATAGGAAGTAGAGAATCTGTTTGTGATCCTGGCAGCAATATTACACATTGGAGACATTCGATTCACTGCTCTGACCGAGGCCAACTCTGCGTTTGTCTCTGACCTCCAGTTTCTGGAACAAGGTCAGTGGAACAGAGCTCTCATTAACCTCATGGGTGTGCAGTTTTGCAGATCCGCCAGTAGGTGGAGACACAGTACAGAAAAGCCAGGGGAAGAGGCCCCCCCCCCCTTTCTTCCAGAGTAGAATTCAGAGTGGTAAAATAATATTAATAATAATAAACGTAATAATAAAAGACGTGTATCCACTTTATTCTTCTTTCTTACGAATGGTTTGGGGAATGAATAACGGTACGTACGTGATGTTCTCATGCTTCCCACATTTACAGGGTCGATTCTTAGGCACGTTCTTGGGCTTATTTATGTTGTTCTAAATATTTTTCCACCCCCACCCACCCCTGCCACCCAGTGTATTTTGGGGGCATGTTATTAGCCAAACATTTTAAACAATATAATTACTTTCCCTCAAAGGTCTTGCCAAAAACTTCTCTCTCCCCTTTGAAGTTGCCTTGTTAGTCACTCCCCGATTTTTTCCAAAATACCTTCAAGCCACAGATTGTCAATGAAAGTCACATCTTCACCTCATATCAAAGTAATTTAACCAGGGGCTGGGAAAAACATCCAGGGCCGTCTCCGAGGGCAAGGAGGGGAAAGACCGGTAGTGATTTAAGGCAGAGGCCCCACCAGGTCATTAGCGTTGTGGTTACTGGGAGCAGTTTCTCTAGTTTGTTTTGATAATTAAAGCGGTAGTTCAGTGTTCTGCAATACACCCAGTTCCTCATGGGTCTGTATCATAAACTTGTAAATAATAACCATAAAGTATAATGTTTTCGCCATCCAAAAATGTATACTAACCTTAGGTTTTCAATGCTGCTTTATTTTTAGTGGCCGGATTGCTACAAGTATCAACCGATGAGTTGGTGTCTGCTCTAACAACCGATATCCAGTATTTTAAAGGTAAGTTTACTATACTCTGATGTTTACCTCTGTGCAGTCCGTGGTCTTCTTTGAGATATGGCGAGCAAATGCAACCTTCCTTTCTTTCCCCACCCCGTGTAACTGTTTCTATGAACTGAATGCCAAATGAGAAAAGCATTATGAGCCCATCTGGTCACTTGATGTCACTCTGTGTTGGAAAGCCTGGAAGCTCTTGAGAGACCGTTTTGATGAACTAGTCACCTTCTCTCGCTCATCAGTCACTTTAGACAAATCAAGTCATCAGTCCAAGAGGACATATTCATCTAAATAATTGGAACCACGTGTGTATGGCTAGGCCACCCTCGTCAATGAGGAGCATCCCCTCCCCTCTACGGCATAAGTCAGAAGAAGAGCTGCCATTTATTGGGCACTTAGGAGCTGACGGGCACTGTGCCAAGTGTTATAAATGCTGGAATTTTAACATTCTCACCAATCGCTATGAAGTGGGCATCACTTTTTCTTTTTAACAGATGAGAAAACTTAGATTCAAGGAGACCAAGTAACTTTGCACATCAAACCACTAGCAAAGGCGTGTTTGGAACTAGAATCGAACGCTGCCTGACTCCCGCCATGACTCGCCGCATGCCATGCACATTTCTCTCTGTGCAGTGGGTGAGGAGAGCGGTTTCCCCCATGCACCTCGGTTGCTCCCTGGAAATCGTTGCCCTACCAACCTCCCTCTTAGTGAAAGTTTGAGGACTCACCGTCCCTCTGATCTTTCTTCTCTAAATCACCACTGTCCTTACCTGTTGCTCCTCTTGAACCTGCTTGTGGATGAACCTACCTGTGGCTTATCCTTTCTGCCCCTAGCTCTAGAGGGTTCCCTTCCATGTTCCGGAACTTTATGACTCTCCCCATCATCCAGTCAGCTGTGCAAAAGTCATTTTGATGCCTTTTCCTCCTCCTTCTCCACTGAGTAGACCAGACGCAAGTCAGCTCTTGTCCACAAATCTCTCTCATTCTCACTACCTTCTCTTCATTTCTGTCACCACTGCCTTAAGATGTCATTCCTTCCCTAGAGCAGAGAACAGGACCCTCTTTCATCTTTTATCTCCTATTGTCTCCCTTCCCCACTGCCTCAAGAATGGTCTTCCTGAATCATATTCTGCAAATGTGATTTTCATCTGTGGACAACGGCCTTTCAAAGATGCTCCCAGTTCTTTCCGAGTACCCCTCATCCCTTTAGGATAGCCCAGCACGCACGCCCTTTAGTATTCAGGCCCACCTCACTTTTATACTTTATTCTGAGCCATTTTCCCACCAGCCCTTGCGTCTAATTATATTGTTTCTCGAACTTCTCCAAAATCATCGTCTCTCATGACTTTTTAAAGAAAACTTGAACTCACCATTAATATCTAGAATTTACTATATGCACGTTTTTCTGCTTACACTGTCTTCATGTCCTTAATCACCCACTCTGTTGGTGACCCATCGACACCCTCAATCATGTTGACTCTGGAGACCTTAATTCTATAACGTCATAAATGGCACCTGCTTTCACCGCCACCTTGTTTGTTGATCTCGATGGCCTTGGACTTGCAGGTCTCTGAGTCTTCCTTACCTGCTGTTTTTTTTTTTTTTTCTTCTTCTTTTATCTCTGCCTACCTCAGAAGAAGTTCTCCTCCACTGACCAAGAGCTCACTCAGCTGTTCTTTCCCATGGTCATCATCCTATTACTTAGCCCCCTGCTCGGCCGCGTGTCCCAGCTTAGCCGGCTGGCTGTGGTATGAGTGTTAGACTCCCTCCTCTCCGACTCTAGCATCAGAGCTATCACAGGCTCAGCTCCAAATCATCCTCACCTGTTTTGTTTTTTTTTAGTTTTTTTTCTCGAGTCTTTTCTAAAAACCCTGTCACTCAAGATTTCAATCACCGTCTCTTAGAGAATGAAATAAACATTTCTACCCGAGGGCCCCAACCCGTTCCCAAACTCCAGACTCACATTTTCGTTAGCTGGACCATGTCTTTGAAAATATTTAAAATATGACTGATTTTCCAGATGGGCAGGTTTCCAGAGGCCCTGGGGACAATTCATATTCAAGCCAGTGAGCGGTTATCGGAAAGCTTGTTAAGAGGGCCCCGCCCACAGTTGGTTCCCTAACGGAAAGGAAATCATACAGCCTGCCTCGAGATCCAAAGCTGTGCTCAGTGTCGGTAGCAAATAAGACTGCAGGGTACATGGCCCTCACTTTGGGAAACGTTTGAAGTAATAACTGGCAGAGACCTCATTTATCAGCCTTGTCGCATAGTTTTAACATCTTTTGGCGTAGGGGGATGTGTGAGGGATAAAATGGATGTGCGTGGTGTTGTTCTACATGAGGGAAACCTTGTTCTACCTCCTCTCCTTTCTGCTGTTCCAGGGGACACCATCATACGGCGACATACTGTGGAGATGGCTGAATTTTACCGGGATCTCTTGGCCAAGTCCCTGTTCGGGCGTTTGTTTAGCTTCTTGGTGAATACCATGAACTGTTGCCTCCACAGTCAAGATGAGCACAGCAGGTAGGATTGGTGGACACTGGTCTGCAGAGTTATTCCTGTAGTAGCCAACTTAAAGGGCTCCCCTCCTGCACGTGCTTTGTCATCCAATGCGACACGTAAGTTACACTATCGTGTAAACATCTCATTTTAACAAGTGATTTTACCTAAAGGGTTTTATGGACTCTTCCTTAGAGATTTAACCCCCCCTCCAACTCCCCGCCCCCACACATTGATGAATTAATCAAATCGTATCTCATGCATGGAGATGCATGTACATTCTCTCTGGGCTGAAGGTATATCTGGCCTTTTGAGCACTAAGAAATGTAAAAAAAATTATAAATCTGGGAAGAAGACTGCTTAAGAATATCTAAAGCACTTAACGTTTGTTGAGGCGTCCATGTCTCTCTTAGGACCAATTCTTCACTTATTTGTAGATTATTTGACAAGAGGTCTCTATGGTAATCATTTTGACTCATAGCCTTAATCACCTTTAAAGCAGTAGCTTTACAGGATTATTTGACGATCTAAAAAATTATAGACCTCCATGGCATCTTGTCGATGGAGAACTTTGTTAATATTCTTGTCACTAATAATGACCTTGGGCAGGCCATTGAAAGCAGAAATGCATCCAGAGGTCCTCACACGTATGCTTGTCTTTGAATGAAACCTTTTGAGGATTTCTTTGTTGTCCGTATAGAGTTCTTCAATAAATTCCTAAAAATTGCTGCCTTTGGAGGTTTCTTGGGAAACACTAGAAGTAACATGTATTGATGGGACAGTTCTTAAAGAAATGTGGACATCTCAGAAGACAAAGGGATACTGAAGACCTCATTAAAATGTGCACATATAAATCTCACAGCACGTCAATCAGCACACAGTACAGTCTGGGATTTGGGATCTAGGTGTAATATTATCGATATTTTAGCAGCTATGCCTTAGAGTTTGGTATGGGAGGATTCTTGGGTTTATAGTTGTTTATTGTCAATTTGTAATTTTCCTTTCAATATGAAGATAATTCACAGAATGATACTAATATGCTAAGTCTTGCAAATTAATCTTGTGTGAAATTATTGGCTGTGCAGCTGAAATTGACATGGAAAAAATTAGTGTTGTAAATCCAGCTGCACATAGAAACTTTCAGAAAATTTCCATTTGACATTTATTTTTTTAAAAAAGATTTATTTATTTATTTTAGAGACACACAGAGAGAGAGAGAGAGAGAGAGGGAGAGCATGCACACGCACATGAGCAGGGGCGGGGGGGAGGGGGCAGGGTGAGAGAGACTCTTAAGCAGACTCCACACTTAGCACAGAGCCCAAAGCAGGGCTTGATCTCAGGACCCTGAGGTCACGACCTGAGCTGAAATCAAGAGTCGGATGTTCAACTGACTGAGCCACCCAGGCACCCCTCCATTTGGCATTTAAATCTTACAGAGCCTTAAATTTATATAATTGGAAAAACTTATACATAGCCTTGATATTTGACTACACACACACACACACACACACACACACACACACACACAGAGAAAAATATACAAATATAAACCTTGGAAAGCATATTGTTTCCCTTTCAGTGGTAACATTGCCACTGTGTCAGTATGTAAATTTATGGTGTTAGTGCTGTTTCTTAAAATTCTTTACCAAGCAAATGACTGAAGACAGGGATTAGCAGGAAATTAATAATGATTTAATGTATTAGAAGTTTAACTTAGAAGACATAGTATCCTCAGATGAGTCATAATTCCCATGTTTTTCTCCCATTTCTCCCCGGGGTCACCCAAACCTAAATTTAAATCTCAAAATACTGCAAAAAAAGGTTATGTTTGCAGTATTTCTAACTCAGTGAAATTCATGGAAAGCTGAAGGATTTGTAGATTTACAGACCCATTTCCTAAGTCTCAGAGAGGTCTCAAAATTTGGATAAACTTGGGCTTTGATTGTTTATGAATCCTCCATTTTTTTGAAATGCGTAATCATGTCAAAACCATTATGTAAGAAATGTATATCCCCATGGTTCAAGTTGGCGAGCACTCTTGATGTTGATAGGGAGTATTTTTCACACTACATTTGTTTTTTGTGGTTTTTTTGGGTAAATTTTGCAAGAGAGAATAACTGTAAATAAGATGTACTCTAACAAGTTATTAAAAGAAAACAAGTGAAATTGAATCAGATGAAATGTTTGTTCTTGGAATGCTGAACTCATTTCCTGCATTACAGCAAAACAGGTACAATATTAATAGTATTATACACTTTAAAAGATGTTACTTTCTCTACCTAGATTCTAAATAGGGTCACTTCTAAGTTAAAAGCCTGAGGTATAATGTGGGAGATGGTGATGATTAGTTAATTATGATGAACCAAAGCATCTGCAGTATTTGCTTGGCCAGCGTCAAGCCAGTAAGGTTGCAGTGCGGATGTCTCCCAGCCTGTGGCAGGCCGTGGTTTTAATGTCCTTGTGCACTGGCCGCGACAAGCTGGGGACCGACCAGGCTGGGGGAGCTCTCATTCAGGGGACATGCTTTGTGGCCAGGGCACTCCAGAAATTGAAACACACTATAACTTTATTTATTAGGCTCAGTTGACAATAATTTGGTCCAAGTGGGCAAAGAAGGAATGATGATAAAAATAGCAACAAAACCAATATATACAATGTGTTCTATCATATACATTGTTATATATAATGCATTATATATAATGTATATTATTATGTCATATATCAAAATCCTCTATATAATATACAGTATATAATAACATATATGCATATATGTTATATAATATATAATATGTATGGTATAATATATAATAATTTATACATATTATATACACAAATCACATCATACATATAATTATATATAAATTATTATATCATATACTAATATTCTTATTGTTGTAATAGCTTATTTAATATATAACTATTATATGTGATTATATATGTATATGATATGATCATTTGTATTATATATGTACATAATATGTATATGTATGTTATTATATATTATATATGAGAATGTATATGATATGTGATATAATAATATAATACATTCATTTCTTTAAAACTTTAGTGTTCACAAAGTGCATACATATAAACTACCTTCAGAAGAAATCCTGTTAAACAGCCAAGAACAGCACACGCTATTGCGGGAGCAATGGCAGCTCCAGGAAATTGTGAGTGTGGATGCCCTGCTCCTTCTCCCCTCCCGATGCACCTCCCTCTGAGAATTCCTACACAAGTCAGACTTGTGGTGTGTTCACCGCTTTCTGAGACATTTCTTTCTCTAAACTATCACTGTGGCCTCTGAAGTGAGGGGTACACAAGGCTCGTACGGTGTTCCATGATGCCGGCACACCCCTCCTCCCTGCGCGGTCGTGATCTCGGGCTCGCGGACCGCGGGCCGGGCCTCGGGGGCTGTCCCAGCGCGTCCGCCCAGCATCGGCTCACGGGCTTGCTGCCGCCTCCCGTCCTCACGCATCCAAGTGCTTTCATGGTCTTTGGGGGACATTATCTGTCAGTGCTCATCTTCATGTTTGATTCGTAATCGGTTGAGAAATAGACAGTGGAGTAAGGCATTAGGAGCCAAGACACTGGTTCTGTGGACTGGGGGAGACAGCAGACCCGGGACGTGCCCCCGAGTGCGGGCAAGCTGCTTCTGACCTCCAGTGTCACACAGGCTGGCTTGCGTGTGGGCCCCGTCAGCATTGGGGGGGGGGGCAGCCGCCCCGGGCAGGAGGGCTCCAAGCCTCCCACCAGGGCTGCCTCCTGCTCGCCAGGGGAGGAAGCCCTCCCGCAGAGGCCAGGAGCGTTACAGCCCATGGAGCTTCTCTCTATGGAAGGAAACCCCAGGACCGGGGCAAGTATCTCCACTTAACAAGAGGTGAGTGTTAATTTAAGAGTTGATTGGCTTGAGGGGCGCCTGGGGGGCTCAGTCATTAAGCTTCTGCCTTTGGCTCAGGTCATGATCCCAGGGTCCTGGGATCGAGCCCCACATCGGGCTCCCTGCTCGGGCTCTCCCTCTGCCGCTTCCCTTGCTTGTGCTCTCTCCTCTCTCTCTGTTGAATAAATAAATAAAATCTTAAAAAAAGAAAAAAAGAAAGAGTTGATTGGCTTGAAAGACCCAAGGCCCATCTGATGCAAGAAAGCACGTAGGCTCAGGGACTCCGGTGCTGAATGGTTTGGGTCCTTTTTTTCCTGGTATTTTTGAAAGGATACAGCTGAACCCATCTGTCTTACGGTGTGACAGTCCTCCCCTTCTGTAGTCCTTAAGATGTGGCCACTAGATACGCAGGAGACCCTTGTAGTGGAATAGTACGTGGCCTCAACTCCCCTGTAGATTGTTAGCTGACACCCCATGACCAGTGTAGGCATAAAGAAATTCCATGTTTGAACCACAGGGAGATCCATATGTAGATTCTTATAACCTCATATGTAGAAAATTGGCAACCGCCAAGAACACGGGAAACACTGGTCTTCGATTCCACCCTTCACTGGCCAGTTTTCTTCCCAGTGCATCCAAAGCTGTGTGGTGAGCTCCCTTCCCAGGGATACAGCCCTTCTTCTCCCCAAGGAGAAGTCTTCCCTCGGATGCTTCATTAATTACAGTCAGACCAACATCCTTCCGCTTATTCTTCTCAGGAGACCTTGAGCTGGTTCCCAGGGGTCCCCTTTCCCCAGGGAGTTAGCTTCCCTGATCAGGAAACCACAGTCTCCTGCAGCTTCACGGTCCCGCTGCTTCCTGAGTGTGCCCCAGCTCCCGTCTGCCCTGTGGTAGAGCTGTGATGTGCAAACGCTTGGGGACTGTCACCTCCTGTGCTTCTGTCTGAGTCTTCCTATGGCTCTAAGTGGGCTCCTTTCCAGGGTCCACCCTCTGTGTTCCAGAACATCACCTCAAGCACAAACTGTGGGAAATAGACAGGATTCTGGATAAGTTTCCTTAATACCTCCCTGTTCCCGTGAATTATTTTGCCTTATCATCGTGGAACTCCTTCTCTGTTTCAAGATATGGGTTGGCTGTTTTTAGTGGA